CACTATCCAATATACTATGTGTTTTTATTTAGAGTAGGATCCGCTCTTGATTATAGCAACTAGGCTGGCACCCAACGCTACATTTTAGTGTGGTCTGTTGGGTTTTGGCTTAACGCGATCCATTCGCCAGTCATTCTAGCTGATTTTACAAAAAAAGGACTAAGGAAGATGTAGCTTTGTGGACATAAGTAATTGAGAAGATGAGTATGAAGTGGCTCAATGAAAGCCTTAAACCTCACAACTGGCTTGACCCGAGGCAACAAGTATAAAAATTACACCTCACAGAGGTCCGTGAGGAAGAACAATCTATGATGGAAAGAACTGAACAGCGCTCATGTTATATATTTAATCCTGTCCATAGTTGGCCAAATTGCTAGCCTAGCTTAGAGTAGAAAATCCATTTAGTAAGGAGGACTAAATTTGTTTTTTTGCTAGCTACTTAAGAAGCCGGAAAGGGAAGAAAGAGATTTTGAAAAAAAGGAGAAAGCCAAGAGACCAGAGAAAGAGAATCTGAGGGAAGACAAGACCGCCAGCCCAATCGGCAGCCTGCCAGCCAAGCGCTCTGACGGCGAAGTTAAAGAGGAAAAGACAAAAAAAAATGTCTACCCATTGCAGTACGTATTCTCATTTCTCAGAACACCCTGGTTAACTTTTCCTCAAAATTCACCTTCTAGAGCTAAAATGTAGTCAACTCTCTGATCTGCCTCACCATTTCAAGGTAACTTTGAAGATTGTCGAGTTAACTGACAGTGTTTGTAGAGATTCTCAGTTTTTCAGGTCATGGTTGTCCCAATAAATATAAACTCTCCCATTCCCGACCATCCAGTCAGAGCTGAAGAAGCTTCTTGGGATGAGAAGCAAAATGTCTTCAAAGAAAAACCAGAAAGTCCAGTTGCCTCTTGGAAAAAAAGCACCTTTGGGTTAACATACAGCGTGAACTATAAATTCCAAAATGTAAACTCTGGATAGGAAATACATATACACCCCATACATCGTTTTACAGTACCATAGGCTGGGAGGAGCTATATAATGAAAATTTCAATTTCTGATGTCCTTTTGTGTTATTCATATACTTTATCAAGGAATTTGTTGCAAGCCCCCTTTTTTAAAAAATAGATCAATATTCTGTTAGGAATTCCGTGCAAAATCCAGGGTGAATGAATAAATGTGTCAGGATTCTGGCAGTTACCCCAATTAAATCATGAGTCTCAAGCCAAACTTCCAAAACCTCAAAAGGATTTATTGGGAGTTAACATGTCCGCCGCTGCCTGGGTGTAGCCGACTCTAGACACGTAATTCATTGTCACCCTTGACCCTGGTTTCTCCCCATCCCCCTGGGTGAATCATGATTCATATTCTCCAATGGGACACCTCCATAGCCAAGAATCATCAGTCATGTTCTCCAGTTAGAGTTTTGCGCGGCAGAAATTTCAGTCACTTAGTTACTATCTTTGAAAAACTGTTTATGGAATGCAATTTCGATATCCAAGCTGCCGCACTGCTCTTTCAAACCCCTTCCCCCCCACCCCCCCTTTCTGTTGGCAACTCTAAAAAGACCACAGAAATATTTTATGAGTTGACATTCAACTCCTAAGGAGACTGTCCCTTTTTTAATCTTAATCCTCTTTTTTTTGCGTCAGATTCGAAGACGAGTGCGGGAAAGACTACCGGGAAAGAGAATACGACCGCGATCGAGACTACGAGAGGATTCAGCGGGATAAACTCCGGCGCCAGGAGGAAGACCGGCGGCGGCAGAAAGAACGCTTCGAGAAAGAGAAAGTTTTCCGGAGGAAAGAGGACGACGTGAAAAGGGAACGAGACTCCTTGCGAGAAAAAGGGAAAAGAGCCGACTTCGTGGAATACGTGGGCAACCCAGAGAAAACGGAGAAAGGGACCAAGGAGGACAGAAGAGACGATTTGGCCAAGAAAGACCGGATTCGGAACAAGGTGCTAGTCCTGGTTTTCTTAAATGTCTTTTTTTCAGTTTCTCTTAGCCGTCCATCTCAGGCAGGCAGATTGATAGCACCTCATTACTCCCCCGATACGACAAAGAGGGAGAAACAGCAGATAGATTGGGGGTGGGTGGGGGGTGTTTGTTTTTAATCAAGGGCATAGACTTTGATTTTAAGCTTCTAAAAGGTCCGTTTCATAGGACCTCTTGGCGAGGATGCTAAAACTTCCAATCGGCCATAGGGATTTCCGGTTGGGTTGCTTACTACTGCATCGTACTTCCCTACTTTTTCTAAAGCATTCCCGGCCTGAGTCATAGGACCATTCCTCCTGAAAGAAACCTTAATTTAATCCATGTTCACCCAGCCCACTTCATGGCTAGGTTGAGCTGGCTGAACTCACTAGCACTGATAATATTACCTAGTTTGGGTAATGAAAAGTCTGCAAGAAAAGAACCAAATGAGCACACCAAGGACCTCGTGGTTGTCTTCCTCCTCTTCCTCCCTCCCTCCCTTCCACAAACTCCCCCTCCCTTCTAACACTGATGGTGTTACCTAGTTTGGGTAGTGAAATGTCTGCAAGAAAAACCCTAAGCACCAAGGATGCCCTCCTTTCAACACTGAGCTATGAACATCCTCTCCTTTATCGACCTCTATTCTAGCTATTTATTCTGAACTGTCGCCTCCTCCGCCCAGCTGGAAGCAGGCCAACCAGTCCAAATTTTCCCTTGTCATTTCAGGATCGGCCCGCCATGCAGCTCTACCAACCCGGAGCCCGGAGCCGAAGCCGCCTGTCCGCGTACGACGAAAGCTCTCCCAAGCCATGCGACCAAGGGGCAGATAAAAAGCCGGAGTGCGAGGCTAGTAACTTGAAAGAAGAGGTGTGACGGCCTCACCTGCGCTCACCCAAACTAGCAGCCAAAGAGGATGAACTGTACAGTCCAGAAGTGCCTTGGGGGGAAGAGGAGAGAGGAGAGGAAACTATGCTTTGGGACGTACCTGGTTTCCAAGCCATGTGCAGAGTCAAAAACCCAACCTTTGTGTGCAACAGGCGCATTCTCTGTTGAAGAGATCGCAGCAGCAGCAGCAGCAGCAGCCTCAGAAAAGGAAGGTGGGCTCCCTGCAGCCCAGTAACAAGCCCTGTCTTTGAAATAATAAAACCCACCCAAACAGTGTTTGCACTTCAAATCCAGTCCTTGGGATCCGCCCCAGGGTGATTTAAGCTTGGATCACGGCGGTCCCAGAATCTGCCCAATTGACTGGAGCAGGAGCCAAACGCCGTCAATAACGTTCAGTCGCAAGAGAGCCTGTCTCTCTCTCTCTCTTTTTTCTTTTGCTTCTCACAAGCGAATGGCAAAAAACCCAATTATTTTTCAGAGGGTAGCTTTGCGTTTGGCTCTGCTTCGCGGGTGGTTCGTGCAGCCTGAACGAGAGCGCTGACAATTAGACGCGGATATTTTTTCCCCCTCCTTTTTAAAAATAATAATAATAATAATAATAATAATAACACAGCTTTTGTTCTAAAGGCAGCTGTTTCTATCTTAATTTACCTTCCGCTTTTCTGAACGCCACCTAAGAAAACGTTTTCTTTCTGTTTTCGGGTCAGACTTTCTTCTTCGGTGCACTAAGGCAGCCACCCCGGCCTTTCTTCCCCACTCCACCCCATTTCTCTCGGATCGCTTTTCCTGGCTTGGCCGGGAATCTGGGAAGAAGAACTGGGTGGACAGGGGAAATGAAGGAAGAGGAACTAGCCACAGACGGGGTTCTCCTTTCTGCTAACCCAACACAGTTTTTATATTCAATAAAAACCCTGTCCATTTATACATGTTTTAAAAGTATTGTTTTGTCTGTAATGACTTGGTGGGGGAAAATGCAGTCTCACATCGACGGTGCGCATACAGTGTCCTTGCATAATGTTCCAGGATCCAGTCTGGGTCAGTCACTGGGACCAAGTCTTCCAAGCTTTCGGATTCGTACTGGAGCTCAATCCTCAGGGAACTTCTGTCTACTGGAATGTTGTGCTAAGATTATCCCCTTTGGCTGGCAGGAGCAGTCAATCCCACGGCATGCGTTTAACAGACAGCATCAGGTACTAAATTGGGGGCCTTCTTGGAAAATATATGGTTGGTTGATGAGCTATATTCTCCTGATGACGTGGCACAGAACAGGATTGCCCGCTCAATATCATTTTACAACCCACCCACCCACCCAATAAATAAAAGTATATTTTTTTAAAAAGAATCTACAGATCCTTTGGCCGCTTGAGAGAAAGATAGCGGCTTTCTCCAGCGAATGGCCTTCAAATCCGTTGGATCTCCAAGCGGCATTTGTGCGACTGTTGCAGCCAAAGCACACTTAAGAAAGATCTAATGAGGGGCGGGGGGGAAAGTCTAATGGGATGAAATCTTGCTCAAGCAAATCTGCATAATTGTTATGCCGCCAACAACAACAACAACGTTTAATTCACCATTAAGGTTTGATCGCACTCCTTTGATCGAAGCCTGCAAAATCTTGCAAAGTCAGAAACCACAAATTATTGCATGGTTGCAAATATATCTGATGAGCACATCCAAATGCACATTGAATAAAATAAAACAAAATTATCCCAGCTAAATTCAATAAGTTTTTACTATTTATTTATTTATTTATTAATCTTGCTGTAAACCAGGATTAAAGAATTGCTGGCTGGGGAATTCTGGGAGTTGAAGTCCACTAGTCTTATATTTGCCAAGGGCTTAGAAGTAAGACTGAATTCTGCCTAAAAAAAGGTCCCGAGTTCTCAGATAAACTCTGAGATTGAGCTTGGGAGGCCCATTGGGTCTCCTGCTTGAGCAGGGGGTTGGACTGGAAGACCTCCAGGGACCCTTCCAACTCTTCGTTCTTCTGTATTCTGACCTTCGCGGCGTTACCTGCTTGAAAAAACTTGCAATACCACGTTGGAGACGCTGAGCGGGCGGCGCTGTCGCCACCGAGTCGACTTTCTAGGCCACCGCAGGAAAAAAAAAAAAATCACTCGTTCGCTTTTTTTCCCATCATTCCATGCGCCCCTTCCCTTAGCCCTTTTCCCTCTTCTGCTGCCGTGGTGACCGCGTTGGACGATGGTGAGTCTATCCGTCGCAATCCTCCTTCGGGGAGTCGCTTGGGAACCCGTTAACCCGGGCCGGTTCTTCGGGGGGGGGGGGGTGGCTCCCGCGAAAAGCCCCCGGTTCGATCTGGAAAATTGGGAACCGTGGATAAAAACTGGAGCGTTGTGCGTGTGCCCGGTTAGAGGCCTGCCCGCCAGCCGCCGCTTGAATGGGGCAGTTGTTTGTAGGCCTCTCCTTAACCATAGAGTTGCCCTTCTCGGTGGAAAAGGCGACTCGAAGCCCATTAAAGGAAAGGATTTGAATGGGATTTGACGCCACCAATATCTGTTGTCTCCCAGTGTTTTACTTGAGAGTTTATTCAAACATAACGTAATCAGTGTTGGAAAGGGACCTTGTTAGCTCATCTAGTCCAACCCCCCTCCCCCGATTTAGTTAGATCCGAAAGAGAATTGGCTGGATTCTGCCCCCCCCACCAGCCCTATTTTAGGTATGAAGTCAGTTTGGTGTGTGCTGGCTTAAAAAAAGGGGGGGGGGGTGTTCCCCAAACTTGGCAACTTTTTAAGATTTGAGGACTTCAACTCCCAGAATTGAGGAAATTGCTAGCTAGGGAATTCTGGGAATTGAAGTCCACAAGTCTTATATTTGTATAAGTGCGGAGATCCCTGGCTTAAAAGAAGACTTTGAGTTCTGCCTAAAAAGGCTCTTGGGTTCTCGGATAAGATGCCAGATTGGACTCCCAATGGGACTCCCAAGCCCAATTTGGGAGCTTATTTTGTTCGAGCAGGGGTTGGACTAGAAGGCCTTCAAGGTCCCTTCCAACTCTTGTTATTCTGGATTCTGAATCCTCTTGTGGCTATGAGTTCTAGTCCTGCCTTAGCTATGAAAACTGGGTGATTTTGGGGACTCTCTCTCAGTCCAACGGACCACACAGTGTTGTTGTGAAGAAAAATAGGCAGGCAGGGGCATTAGGTGTGTTCCTTGAGTGAAGTATAAAAAAGAAGTAAAAATATCAATATTTTTATTGATAGCAAAAGTGTTGAATCCTTTTATGTTGCCATAATGCTGCAGGTTGTGTATCTCAGCAGGTTGAGATCTGTACGGTTAGGATTGGTGTTTTCATGTTGCTGCAAAATGCACCGGCGGGGTGTGTTTGTGTAAACACACAGTGAGTAACACACCAGCAGCATTTCAGTGCCAAAGCAATAACGTTGGGAGTTTTAAAAGACTGGAGTAACTATTCAGTAAATGGCAATTAGAAATATACATTCTAATTTATATTTCTAAGCAGTTCAGAGAGATAATTTGTTTATTCGTTGGCTTGTGTATCTTGTGTGTATATGGCCGTTCATCTCAAAACACAACTCTGCACAGCTCACAAAATTTAAAAAAAAAAAAACTGTTTTGCTTCTTCTTTGATGTTGCAGTGTGTATGGAGCGAGACTAGACTTCCCTGTGGGGGAAGCCAGTTTTCCCAGTTTACTTTCCTCTTTTAGTCTGGAAATCTATATAATGCTTCCATATAGTTTTGCTCCCTTTTGGGCATAATCCAGCCACGTAGCTGCAGGTTAAATGGGCTGCATCTAAATAGGTTTTACTCTGAAAATGGCCAGCAATTCACAGGATCATGAGTTGGAAAGGAATAGAGTGGTGGGGTGGCCTAGAGGTGGAGCTCTCGCCTCACAATCAGGAGGCTGTGAGTTCGATCCTAGGTATGCAGATATTTCTCTCTTTGGGCACGATGAGTTTATATCTTCTGCTGAATATAACTCCGCATTGGCAACAGGAAGGGCATCCGGCCAGTAAACACACAGCTCCATTCAGTTGCCCAGACTCCACCCCTCAAGGGATTACGGGGGTCATTAAAAGTAGGTAATGAGTTGGAGAGGGATCTTGGAGATCTTCTAGTCCACTTCCTTGCCCAACACAGGGATCGACCTCATTTGCATCCACACACAAAAAAAAGAACCCATTACCTCCCAGGTCAACCATCAGCCATTGTTGGAAGTCTCTGTGTGATTTTTGAACGCTTATCTTGGCCGCTGCTTAAATGGTTTTCGATGTTCCTTCTCTTCCCGGTCTCCAGTCGTCCCACAAGACTTTCAAGATCAAGCGATTCCTCGCTAAGAAGCAGAAGCAGAACCGACCCATTCCTCAGTGGATTCGCATGAAAACTGGCAATAAGATCAGGTAAAGCTCTTGCGAGAGCAGATCCCTTCGATAGCTGCCTGCCCACTGTCAGAATTACATTGGGATTTTTATATTTTGGAAGAAAACTGGACTCCAGCTCAGTTGCATCCTTCTCTTAAACTACTCTTCAGCCCCTTCCTGAAGTTTCAGATGGTTCATTGTCCCCCAAATATTAATTATGTAAAGATTTAATAAATACCATTTAACCAATTCTGCTACGAATAATAACATTGAGCTGACTTTGTATGAGGTTTATAATTGACCTACCTATGCTGCGTATGCCTCCAAATATCAAACAACTTTCTAACAAATATTCTTATCTTTTTTTTTTCCATTTCATCATCCGTTTTCTTTCCCTGGTTTTCCTTGCCACACTCTCTTCATCCTTCTGCTTCTTTTCACATAAATACCCTTCTCTGTGCAAAACAAAGCACATTTTGACAGGTGCGTTCATGCAATATTCTGTTTCTCTCTGGCACCGAAATGTTGAGGTCTGTTCCCAGGTCAGATGAGGGAAGGTTACTTTCTTAAAAGGAAATTCTGTTTTCTTAAAAAGGAACATTTTTCTGAAGCAGGTAGCAATTGCAGCGTTCCCTTACATGGAAACACTGCCATATCCCTGCTGAGAGCAATTCTGTTATATGGGATTTGATTTCGCCTCCATCCTGGTGAAAAATAGCCTCCCTGTAACAGTGACAAGCCTTAAGGGGAAAACACGGGACAGATTTTATCTTCTCTGAGAGGACACTCAAATGTAACCTTGTGGTAATATCGGAGGAAGGTTTTCTGTGATGGGAGTTTAGATTTATTGCTTGCTTTATCTATCAGGGCCGCCCCAGCCTCTTAACAAAGTTTGCAGATAATACAGCATGAATTTAAAAAATCTGTTGAAAATTTTTTTATGGAAAATATAATTAAAAATATTTTTTTTGATTTATTTTAAAAATAATTAAAATTTACTCTAAAATTTTATGTTAGATATATTAAATAAATAATTTGGAAGCCTGCTAAATGTGCATCTTCACTAAATGAAATTAGTACGTAGATTTTTTTTTTTTAGAAGCAATCACCTGGATCAGTCTGTTTGGGCAAATCGTGGAATTTTAATCTAAAAGACTTGATTAATTGATCTGGTCAATTCAAGGATGATGGCCTAGTGACATCCCCATCTCTTAATGCTTTAATTGGGGGCTTAATTTTTTTAGGGGGTAGGGGACATTTTGGAATGCTAGACCTTGCCACGGGCCCTGTCCTTGTGCTTACATTTCACAAGGCTATTTATAAAGCAGCTTGTGTTGAAAGAATGAACGCACAAGGGTTGGGGTTTTTTTTTTTTTTTGGTGCATTTAAATGAGGAAAGGGAGTTACAAATTGACGTGGGAAAACTATTCTCCCTCTGCCTTATAAAAGACCCTCCAGATTAAAAGTCCTTAGTTTAATTCCTTGCTATTAGCTTCTAGGCAATTCAGGTTTTAGTCCGTTAGACTCTCAGAGTTGTGTCTCGCTTACTAATTGTGCCTCTTTTGTTCCAGATACAATTCCAAAAGGCGTCACTGGAGGAGGACCAAGCTGGGCCTGTAAATGGAAGCAGCTGCAACCCTCACCGTGTCTGTCTGACAACCAGCTTTTGTGCCCCAGGATGGCTTGCCTTCTTAACAAAGCCCTATTTTCAAGACTGAATCTCCATATTATTTCTCCTGTCCTCCTCTGTCCTTTAAAGTTTTTATTTCCACAAAGAGGTTCCCAAAGGAATTAAAACCAAATAATCTGGATTTATTGTGTACATGTTTTGTGTTCTTTAACTCTCAGGGTAGCTACGTTGGCTGAATTCTTGCTGTCAGAAGAGAGAATATCATTAATAATCAGACTAGTTAATTTCACAATTCTGTTTGGATTTACTGCTTGTATACCCACTTAGTCATAAAGGGAGACGTTGTCAGAATATGAAAGGCCGTAGCTGCCAGAGTCACTAGCCTGAAACAAGCAAGCAGGAAACCGTAATCCCAAGCAAATAAATATGAGGATATTTGTCAGCTGCCCAGAGTCATTTGCTGAGATGGGCAACCATAGAAATCAAATAACTTTCAGAGTTTAGAAATAACGTCATTTCAAAATGTTGGTGGTATTAACTAAGAAAACTAGCCAGAAACAGAAAGGGAAGAAATGACATAAGAGAGATGAGGTAGAAAATTTAAACTACAGAGTATAAAGAATTATAGAAGAAAGGAAAAAAATAAGATGTTTGTGCTGAACTCTGCATGCAAAATATCTTCGGAGTATTTCCTTTTTTCTTTTTAATTACATTTAGTAAATATAATTTTTACGAAGCTGTTAGCAAGAGGTGAAAATTGTTTTTTCGGTGTTTAAAGAAAGAAAATGCTTCTTAATTCTCAGACTTTTTAAACTGAATGCAGGTTTAACCAGAATCAACGATTAAGCTGTTACGAAATATTTTTCTGAAGACTTGCACTTAATAGGGATTAACGATATTAGGAAAGCCATAATTTACAAAACACCAGAACTATAAGAAAATAGCTATAGGCCTAACGCTGAGAGCTGATGGGCTAAAAATGACTTAGCAGACTTAACTACTTACAGTGAAGATGCTTACAGAGGTGTGAAGTCATGATTGAATGAGAGTCAAGATTTATTTAAAAGAAGACAAAACACTTGTTTTAACCAGATGTGTTCGTGGGATAAATGCCTTGACCCTCCAAGAAACTATACATGTTAAGACATGGTTTAATTAACCACAAAGGATTAAAATGAATTTTAGGTCTAAAAATATAATGCCACCGATCTGGGCAATTTTTAGGAATTTCTTCACAAAAAATTGAAACTTTTCTCTCCTGGTGGTTTTGGAGAAAGGACAGGATTTCAACAACCCACGGAATTCATGTTGACAGGCTTTGACACCAGAAGCCAAGGGAATGAATGCACTGCCTTTACGCTGAAAAATAACCTTTTAAATATATTTTTTTCTGACTTTATCCAGGATGATTCTTTGCCCCTCTTACTAGTGCAGCCCATTTAAAAATGTCTCCAACTTAAAGCAGCCAAGTTTTACACCATTGCTTTTTGCTCTTGTTTTCGAACTTAAATTTAGCCCCGCTTCAAGAATTAGCTGGCTCCACCCTGTAGGAGGAAGAGCTAGATGGGATCAGATAAAGGACTATCTAGTTTTGGTTTGTTGTTTCCTCAGATGCCTTTGAGAACCTTTGTGTTTGTGTTTGATTCGTTGGAAAAGGCTGTGGGTCAGAACCCAGGCTGAAGAACAGTTTCTACCCCTGGGCTGTCAGACTCCTGAACGGAAAATAACTTCATGTCAACGTAGTATGGTAGACTTGCAGGGCCAGTGCATTGTGCAACAAGGTCACATAGTGCAATAAGATTGGGACTGGGTTAGGGACTTCTGTCCTCCCTGTGAGTTGTGTTGGTGTGTGTGTGGGGTTGCATGAAGGGAGGCTCAGCCAATCTGATTGTACACATGTTGTACTCTGATAATAAAGGTAATAAAAATAACAGATCGCTTGACGATTCCACGATGAGGCAGACCTGGCCTTGTCCTCATGAAACTCCCATTAGTTCTCTTCATGGGGTTGGAAGACAGGACACCCCCCTTCGTTTTTATTATTTCTGGATTCTTTCTTGGGGGCACAACCCTTTCTGCAACTCTCACAGTCAACCAGGCTTTGCAAAGATCAGATGATACTCAAAATTGTTTTTTTTCCCCCCTCTTCTGCCTGCTTGTTTCCTGAAGATATGCCCCCTTCCGGTTTTGTGAACCTTGCGGTTTTTCAAAGGGCCAGTGGCAACGAGATCAACAAACTCCCAAGACTTGAACTCTGTCTTGATCCCCAAACCACAGGAGTGAGCGCTTCACGGTCCCACCACCCACTTCCAACCATGTCGTACATGGTTCTCTTGGTGCAACTCATAATTAGCTTTGTTTAGTTTAAGTTTATTGTCACTGCACATCGTACAACGAAATTAAATACCATCTTCGGTGTACTACACAGTAAAATTCAACGGAGCTACTGCCCTGGGATAGAAGCTGTTTTTCAGCCTCTTTGTCCTTGTTTTTATTATCCTGGAAAAATCATCATTCTGGGTTCAATTCCAAATGGGGGGAAGAGACACTGGAAACATGGAGGCTGTTTGGAAAGATGGTTTAATGGTGGACAGGACCACATGCCTTGCAGCTCCTGGGTGAAAGAAAAAGGGCAGACATGCTAAGAGTTCCTGGGTTTTATGCCCTCTGTTGGGATTTGAATTTGAGCTTGTATTCTGATTGGCTGTCAGACTCCCATGGGACCGTGCAGGGGCAGCACTTTAGGCTGTCCTGAATCCCAGGCTTAGTTGAGCCTTGCTGGATGATGATGTAATGAAAAGGGCTTTGGGCAATTCCTATTATAGCTCTACCTGGAGTAGATCTTTGTTAGGTAAAATAGACTGGCCTAGGCCAGAGTAACGGTCCATTAGCAAAGGTGGTGAAGCTGAGTTTCGGCCTCTCTCGAGTTTCTACTTTCCATTTTAGGGGAAATATTCTGCCTTTTTAATATTTCCTAGGATATTTTCATTTTTCTAGGAGAGGGATGGGTGCTAACTTCCTACAGTACCATCTGCTAGATGGTAATAATTCAAAAAAAAAGGGTGCCCAGGATGAGATGGATCTTTGAGAATGTTTTGAACTTTCTTAAGGCAGCGGGAGCTATAAAGCTCTTCCAAACCGTCTGGAGTGCTTTCCTATCTGCCCCTGTGCAATTGGCAAACCATACAGAGGTGCAGTAAGTTAAGATATTCTTATGGTGCAGCAGTAGAAGGTCACTAGCAATTTTTCATTCAGTTGTTGTTTCTTGAGAAGTCTCGGGTAGTATAATCTCTGCCAGGCCCCTTTGACCAGGGCTGCAATGTGAGCACCCCAGGTCAGGTCCTCTTTTAGGGTAACACCCAGAAACTTAAAACTGGCCACTTGCTCCACTCGGTCTCCATTGATACGCAAGGGCTGGAGGTCTGATCTCTTCCTTCTATAATCCACTATAAGCTCCTTGGTCTTATGGGTGTTGAGGACCAAGTTATTGTCTCCACACCACAAAAGCAACCATTGGTCCACCTCATCTCAGTAGGCAGACTCATCCCCCGCCCCCCTGGAGATAAGTCCCACCACTTATCCAAAGCTTTCTCGTTCAGTTCATCCATTTTGGGGATCATCCATGAAACCCCAATTCTCATCTCTGCTAAAAGATTTAGAGACACTCCTTGTCCATCAAGAGGTGGCCCATTCACACAAACGTAAAACGAAAAGGACAACGTTCGGGTTGAAACATCCTTTATTTAAAACAGAGAATATCCCTGAAGCTGTCCAAGTTCTAGACCCCTAAAACAAGTGGAAGGTAAGTTCTCCTTTGAGGTGAGCTCAGTTCCTGCCCCGTCTTGCTTCCTAAGGATGTGTGGTTTGGGCCATCAGTCTAGGTCACAGGGATCTGGCAGGTTGTTATGGTTCACCAGCAGCTGGTTCAGACAGCAGCGAAATCGGACAGTGGGGAAGAACGGGGACCAGTCCAGGAGTCTGGAGAGGACTCGATACGAGGGTCCTTCATCCAATGTAGAGATGGGGCCAGGACCACCTGGGAGTACGGTGCTATCTTTGGAGCCTTCGGAGTCTGGTAGCAGCGAGGCAGAGGAACAACGGGAGCCTGGTCCCAGTGCGCATGTGTGCAGAGCTGCTAGAAGGCGAGAGCAGCTGAAAAAAAAAGGGCAACTCGATAGTAAAGCTGGGAGATGATTGCCCCTCCCATAAGGGATAAAAGTCAGGCCAAGATGATGAAATCCTTGCAGGAAGCAAAGTAGTTCAATCGGTTCAGAATCATCCTTAAAAGCTCTTTGTACTTCGGTTGGTTTTTCTTGTACTTCAGTTGGTTTCTTTTCTAGTTAATTTGATACTTCAGTTTTGGTAGCATTTCACAGAACTGAAAGGAGTATGCTTATCTTGGGGAATGGTTTGACCTTAATTCCGGCTGGGAATGAAAATAATTCCCAGCGTTGCATTAAAATAGGTTTTGTTTTTAAAACAAGTTTGTGAATAATTACGGGTTATGAAGCCTGGGTCAGAACACGGGTCTCCAGGACAAGCATGAACAAGATTTGATCCTGCAGGATCTCATTTGGGTCAGTCACTAGGACCAGAGGTTTAGCCTTCCCAAGCTTTGGGATAAGGGCTGGAGCCCAGTCCCACCAGAATTTGAGAGAGAGAGACATTCTGGTGAGAGAGAAGATCTCCAAGGATGGATTCTTCCGAAAGCTTGGAAGACCAAACTTCTGGTCCTGGGGATCGACCCAGATTGGATCCTGCAACATTATCCTGGGACACGTAAGATTTGCCTTCAATTTGTAAAGATCAAATCCTGCATAGCTTTTTTGGGAATCCATCGGCCTGAATGACCTGCTATGAATAAAAAGAGTTTGCATCCTGTTCCTGATGGCTTCGTGGAATATCCTACAACAGTTCAGAAGTAGACCAAGTAGATTTTTGGGTAGTGGCTGATTTGGGGTTTGGTTTTTTTTTACCTTAAAGCTTGGGGTAATCCTAGCTAGCATCTCTAAACCAGATCTAATCCATCTAGCTTTCTGAGAAGGCTTTGAAAACTTCACTGTTGGGTAAAAGTGGTTTTTTTTCCCCCTTTCCAAATCATGTTAAAGGTAGTCCTTGACTTAGGAATATTCATTTAGTGACTGCTTGAAGTTACAGTGGTGCTGTGGTGACCAGTCCTTGCATTTATGATAATGGCTTCTCCAGAGTCACATGGGAAGAATTCTGGAATTTTGCAACCGGCTCACAATTAGGGTTGCAGTAAACCTGGCATTCTACGTTTCTGACAAGCAGGGTCAATGGGGGGAACCCAGATTCACTTAAGGACCATGTGATTCACTTAACAGGCACAGCAATTTGCTTAACAACCATGACAAAAAAGGGGGAGTCAAACTGGACAAGACTCACTTAATAACCGCCTCGCTTAGTGATGGAATTTCTGGTGCCAATTAGTATCCTAAGCAGAGAATTATCTATTTTTCCCCCCATTGCTGCATGAGCTTTTTCAAACTGGAGATCTTGCAGATTAAAACTTAAGCTTTCTCTTCTACTTTTGGTTTCTTTGGATCGGGGGAGCCGGAATGACAAACAAAATCAGGTAAACCAATATATATATATATATTTACTGATCAAACAAGGTGACTATCGAATAATATCTTAGAGCAGGGGTAGTCCAACCTTGGTAACTTTTTAAGACTTGTGGACTTCAACTCCCAGAATTTGTACACTTCAACTCCCAGACTTGCGTAGATTTCAACTCCCAGAATTCCCCAGCCGGCTGGCTGGGGAATTCTGGGAGTTGAAGTCTGCACAAGTCTTGAAATTGCCAAATTTGGAGATTAGAGGCTCGCTGCTGAAATTTTTTTTTTTGCAAAGATTGCAACACCAACCAGGAAGGGCTTGGTCTAACTGAAGTGCACTTCCTTATGTTCTTTCGAAAAGCACAAAAACTGAGCCTTTGCTTAGCATTACCAACTCTTATCTTCTTCTCTTAACACCCAAAATCGGTAAAGACAACTCCAAGCATTCGGTACTCTCGTAAATTAAAATGGACGGCTGATGTTAGCTTAGCCCTGAATTGCACCGTGGATAAGACTGACAATATCCGAAGGTGAAAATATTATTTCTAAAACAATTTAAGTCCCCTTAATCCTTTAAACAGTACAACTAAAAGACGAACAGTGGTGGTAGATGTAGGCATTTCACACAGACCCCTCAGTACTTACAATAACACAGTCAAAATCGGGATAAAATATAGGATCTTGACATATTATTAATATCAGATCCTATATTTTATTCCGATTTTAACCGTGTTCCTTGTAAGTTTGGTACTGGTGAGTCAATATGAAATGCCTGCATCTACCACTTTTTGTCTTTTAATTGTACTGCTTAAAGTACTATTTCTCACTCTTTTCCACCCCATCCTGCCAAAAGAATGGGCAGGCCGTGTTATATTCTGCTTCCTTGAGTGTTTCAACTCTGATTTTAAAAAGCCAGTTGCTTGCCAAATTCTATTGTTGAACTGTCAGAAGCAAGATGATTTAAAGGTTTTTCAGTGGCCAAAGGTGAGGCAGGCCAACCTCAACATAATTCTTCGCTGCTCCTTCGATCTAGCATCATCCGAATATGTTATGCAAAGATATGTGCATATCTTTGTATAATGTGACGTCCTGCATTCTCACGGGATAAGGTGAGGCATTTTTCCAGAGGCAGAATTTCAAGTTCTTTTTAACATCATATATTTACAGCCCTTTAGGGAACAAATGCTAAGGATACCCCCAGTTTCATCCAATCTCTTCCTCCCCATATCTACTTCCTTGAGTCGAAAGAAGATGTTCTTATTCCAGAGGCTAAAAAAAAAAAAAAAGATTTGCTTACCCTGAGGTTTGCTAAAACTTGGGGCCATAATCTGAATCACTTTATCACTTCCTCTGCCTTCTTAATGGCCATTTCTCTAAGGGCGGCCATGAGTGTTGGCAGATTTGGACAGTGAGGAAGTTGGGGTGGAACATGGGCCAGTCCTGGAGTCTGGGGGAAGGTTCTGACGAGGGCTCTGCATCAGAGGCAGAGATGGCACCAGGGCCATCCAACAGTTATCAGCTGCCTTCAGAGTCGTAGATCAGTGAGGCAGAAGAACAGCCAGAGCCTGTTCCCACTGTGCACATGCACAGAGCTGCCAGGAGAAGGGAACAGCTAAGGAACAAGGGCTGACTTGGGAGTAAAGCCACGGGTGGACAGTGAATGGCCCCTGCCATAGGGAATAAAAGAGGAGCAAAAGGGGAGTGGGGTTTTGCAGGAGACAATTAGTTCATTAGGGTGAAGATCTGTTCCTGCATTCTTGCCAATTATTGTCGGCTACAGCGTGGCATCTGAAAGATAACGGCCTGGTAACTCTCCAAGACTGATAAAAGTAACTGTAAAATAAATAAAAGGGGTTTATTGGGACCAGGAGTCGGCTTCGTGCTATTGGGGAAGCCTAGGTCCAAACAATGAGGATCAATCCAAGCCAAGAACACAAACACCACTAACCCACCTAGGAGACCTCTAATGATCTTGGAAGAATGCAACAGCTTGCCTGAAGATGTTCCTGAAATAAGATCCCATGGGACTGCTCCTCTGGCCTGGCCCTGGAGCCTCAGCACTTGCGTATTCTGTCCTAAAGGCCCCGATCATCCAACCCCATCGGGAAGGAGCGCAATTATTGTTGGTGTTCCCTGCTCCAGAGATGGCCAAGTCTTCTTCGGTAGCTCCCAGAAGTTCCTTCAACTCTCTAGGAGCATTGGCGTGGAGGTACTGCCAGGCTTTGCGCCCATTGTGGTCCCTGAGGTTGGTATTGGCCCCAAAGGCTCCTACTAGGATCTTGACGGTCATCACGTGGCCCTGAAGGGCAGCCAAGTGCAGAGGGGTCATCCTCCCACTGGCCGTGAGTACGTTGACGTTGGTTGGGCAGCCGTTCCTCTCTGCAAAGGACATCACCTCGATCAAATCTTCGTGACGGCCGTGTTTGGCCAACCAGTGAAGGACAGTAAAACCGGTCACAAAGTCTCTCCGGGAAAGCAGGCTGGGCTCCTTGGCTAAGAGGTTGAGGATGCTTTCGGCGTCCCCTTGGGCCACAGTCAACATCCATTCGTGCTCCAAGGGGTCCAGAGCTAAGCACGGCTCTTCAGAATTCACCTCTGAGAATGGATCCTCTACGCCCCGTTGGCTCTCGGCCGTCGAGAGGGTCTCTTTGGGGGAAGGTGTAAGCCAGGTGGGGCTGGCTTGACTGCTCTGCAGGAGGAGCTCCTTCAACCCTTTCCTCCTGGTGCTGCTCCAAAACATGGAAAGGCGGGATGGGTTCATTTCGGGCCCCCACTTTGCCGAATTCCTCCTCACCCAACTCCTGTTGGTCGATTGACCTCGGAGAAGGCTCAAGGTTTCAGCCCGGCTGATAGGACGAGGGGACTGGTTGCCATCGGAAGCTTGTCTTTGGTCCTGAAGGTTGCTTGCAGGAACCGACACCTCTCCTCCTCCTCCTCCTTCCTTCGGGTTGCTCTCCTTTTGCTTCTCCATCACGTCCCTTCCTTCAGGGTCCAGCATCTTCTCAAAGTTCCTGGTACTTTCCCCACCTCTATCCTAAAGTCTTGGTCATCGTTGTGTGCGGCTGCTTCTCGAAGTCCTCATTTTCCTGCTCCGAAGAGGAAGCGAGGGAGATCTTGTTTCTACTCAAAGTTGCCTGCATAGAAAGAGGGAACCAACACAGACCATCAACCCTTGGTAAGAGGAACTGATCATTCAGCGAGAAAGAGACCGTGAATAGCAATTCTCGGCTGAGGAGGTTTCACCCGCAGAACCAGAGTTCTTTTGTTCATTTGAGGTTCTCCAACTGGGGTCCTTAATGTTCTCTGAGCTTCAAAGTGTCTTCCTTGATGCTTCTACAAGCTCAGAGAGCACCAAGGACCCCGCTGTTCAACTCTGAGCTACACATATTATCTCCTCTCCAAAGCTTTGGAGAAACTCAAAAGAACTTTCATGGTTGATAAATGCTCTGGACTTCCCTTTCAAGCTTTCGCTAACATGTCTCTGATGCAAGCAAAAGAACGTTGCGCAAGAACAAAACAACAACCTTCTATTTGCAACCTTCTCTTTTTCCTTACACAGCAATTCATTAAAAAAAAACAACTGTTGATAGGCAACTTTGAGAAACCTTCATCTTAAAGTGCTCCCCCGCTCTCTCTATATATAAAAGCAAAATGCCCCTCACACATCATCACAAAATCTCCAGAACCGTAAAGCCTACAAACTTGATATTTGGCACGTATGTTCCTCTTGGCTTCTAGGGGCTCACTAAGGAAGGATTTTTCCAAATGACCATCAGAGCATTAGTATTTCCTATATTATTATTATTATTATTATTATTATTATTATTATTATTATTAACACCCTCTGATGCTAAGGAGTTCTACTCCCCCTCCCCACCTGAAAAGAAATCTGTTCCAAATGCAAAACACAAGCAGAGGAGAGGAGTTTCAGTTTTAGTTTTAGTTAAACAGCACCAAGCAGCTTTAGTACAGAAGAGTTGAGCTAAACCATGCCCAGGCTCCTTGCTGTCTCCTTCTTCCTCACACAGCAAATATCCTTTCAGTTTCCAAACAGCCCTCAACTCACTGACAGGACGCTAGCCAGATGAATACCGATGGATGCTGGTAGGCAGAGGCACAATTCCCCCCCACACTATTTTCCTCCCAAAAAGCTAAGCCCCATCACATAGTTTTGTAGTGAAGCACAGGTATAGAGCTAGTGTTTTAATAATTCAAAAACACAGGGTCTGTATATATTTGCTCAGTTCAGTTAAAACTTAAGTCTATAACTCCATCCCACGTTAACCACTGTTAATTTTAGTCTTGGTTGGGCTGGTATGCGTGTATGAAGCTTAGCATGGAAGTGAAATGCAGACCATTTGAGAAAGTTTATTATTCACTGTTTATTATTCATATCCAGAAACCTAATTTATTCATTAAAGTGAAGCGTATTAGATTGTTGCGGGAAAGATGCTCTGTAAACCACTTAGAGTGGGCTGCAAAACACTGCAAAGTGGTATAGAAATCTAAGTGCTATTGCTATTTGCGAGCATTTTGCCGCTGGCCTGCAAGTCAATCCTCTTCACTTGAATCTGCTTATCGCTTTTCTCTTCATTTTCTCCAACAAGATTTATTTCGGGAAGCGGAGCAAACGGACCTCAGGAAAATGGAAAACTGGGGCCATCCCTAGGAGATGTTTAAACAAACCAACCAAAAATAAACTCAAGATAATGATGGTAACCATGCAATCAAAGGCCCGCCCCTAATTTACACACATTGCAATGCAATAAAGTAGGACTTCAGTTGCACAATTGTGATCCTTTAAAAAAAAAAACTTTTGGGACCTTCCCACGTTGTACACGTCCTGGGAAAACTGTCTAGAGGAAGAGAATTAGCATCAAGACTATTGTGCGCTGCCCCATATGGCAGCCTTATCAATCTATCCTTTAAAAAAAAAAGGATGACTTTTATTAACAGGGACAGTCTGGTGATTTTAAATTAAGTTATCCAAGAGGGAAGCAACCTGGAATTGAGGATAAACTTCCTGACAGGATAATTAACCAGTGGAACAGAAGTTGCCTTCAGAAATCGTGGGCACTCCATCGCTGGAGGTTTTTAAGAAGAGGCTGCACTTCTAGTCCCTCCGATGTCCCTTTCAGCTCGATTCTATTCTTTTATTCTTCTTCATTCTGCAGGAGCTGGTGCTGTTTTTGCTGCAAAAGACTTTACACTGGTGCTGAAACCTATTTTGAATCTTTGGACACTGCCCGTTCTACCTTAAAAAAATTTTTAATTAACCTTTATTGAAATTTGAAACATTAAAATGCAAGTAAATTTAAAAATAACTTTTTACAAATCTCAATCTTCTTCGACAGCATTAAAATATCTTGGTTATATACAAACATTTCCACACATTTCTAGTTGTTCATATACATATCTATATATTCTTCTCATCTGTACATTGCTTATTCCTATCATCTATCCACTGATATACCAATCTTCCCAAACTGTGTGTTATTCCAAGTCTTCCTTGTCCTTTAACCCTAAAGTGAGTTTAATCCATTTCTGCGCAATCTAAAATCTTTTGGATTACTAAACAATCTGCCGGTATAGTGACCCCTTTTCCAGCATTGTGCCAGTGCAATTCTCGCTGCTGTGGTTATGTGTTCAAATCAAATAGTTTATGTTTTTAGGATACTTTTTCTTAATAATCCTCAAAAGAAGCAGTTCTGGCTTCAATTCTATTGTATTCTGCCAGGTTTGAAACACACTCCTGAAACCATCATCCTGACTCTGCTCTGCTCTCTCCTATCTAACCATACCGCACCAAACAGATGCTTCAAGGGAAAAAGAAAGAAAAAGAAAAAAGCTGTTCCTGGAAATACAATAAATTCCAATTCCATTTTTTCCCGCTTACCTAAGAGATTCCAGGGTAATCCAGGGTAAAAGTGAGCCAGCTTTCCAGATTCCTCTTTTACCTAGCGACACCCCTGTTATCTTAAGATTTATTTTTATTTCTTTGCGCTTGCAAAAGCCAAGCCGAGCAACCTTAGGATTGTTCCAAATAAACACAGAGCGGCACCATTTCTGAAGTTGTAAAACAGGACCGTCCAACCTTGGCACTTTTAAGACCTGTGGACTTCAGCTCCCAGCAGGGCTGGGGAATTCTGGGAGTCGACGTCCACAAGTTTTAAAGTTGGACACCCCTGTTTTAAAGGATCAATGGCCAAGCAAACAACATGGGGTTGTTGGGTTTTTTGGGGGTATTTCTATTCACAAGTGACAAAGGAGTTTATTTACTTAATGAATTCAATGTATATGCTGATCATCTGGCTACGTGAAGTGACTCTGGATACTTTTAATTTGGGGGGGGTGTATTTTATTTTTTGCACCTTTCTTACTCCTTTGGGGCACAGCAAGAAAGAAGGCATTTTAAAATCCCAATCTCTTCAATTAGAGGGTTGGTCTAGATGACCTCCAACGGATCTTCCAACTCTGTTATTCTGTTAATTAACAAGTGGAACAACTTGTCACCTGTCAATTTGTCTTTTTTTATAAAAAAATTACTTCCTGCTGCCCACAGTTTTTGTAAAATTTTATCTTTTAAAAATATATATATTGTAAGCCGCCCAGAGGTACCTTATAGTAAGATAGGTGGTTAATAAATTTAATAAATAAATCAAAGGGCAGGTTGATCTGGGAATTACCACCAGTCCCACTGATATTTATTTATTTTTTTCTGATGATTGAAAAAAAAAATATTTCCTCCACCTTACAACAGCGTGCAGGATGGCTAAACTGCCCATTACTATCCGGTCTGTCCTTTTTTTTTCAGCAGATCTTGCAACAATCAGTGCCAAAACAACAACCCTGCAAGGTAGGGTGTTGCCCAGGAAATCCCGCTTGTTGTAGGACTGGGGAAGCGGCCAACCTCTGGCTATGGCTGGCTCCATTTCTAGCACAACCCCACCGACTTCGACCCAACTCCTCGATGCTCCATAAACCACAATGCACAAACCACCTTCGACCGTGATGACTACGCTCAAAAAGAAAGCGGTTACCTACTTTAATCCGGCTAAACCTTCTTCTGATCAACTCACCTTCGGCTTGATCCGAATTACAGCGCCTTCTGTCCCAAGTCTTCCCCACCTCGCTGGGTTGGGAATCACATGCTCCTTCCTTTTTCCTCCTGGAGTTTCTGGATCGCGCAAGGAACGCGGAACGGGGCCCTTTGCGCGCTCCTGAGCCGGGGATCGCGCGCGTTTTTCGTCCAGGTGGATAGGGAAGGCGGCTGTTTTACTCCGGTTTTGAGGGTGGGGTGGGGTGTGGCGGGTGTCCCTCTACCCCGGGCTTCTACTACTACTACCCCGTCTGGAGCTTACTCCGGCCAGCCTCGCCACCTTGCAAGCCCGTAGCAGCTGCTGGAGTGAATGCGAAGCAACCGCCCCAAGGTCTTTTCTTCCCGTTTGGAGCCGGTGCTCGTTTGCTTCCGCCTCTTGAGCCAACCCTCCCCGGTGCAAAGTTTGTTCTCTTGCCCTGCTTCGGAAGGGAGCCAAAGAAAGAGAGAGAGGGAAAGAGAGAGAGAGAGAGAGAGAGAGAGAGAGAGAGAAGAAAGGACGAAAAAGAACCAAAGGAAGAAAAGAGACCGCGATCTTTGCGCTCCCCGAGGCGCTTCAGCCGCCGCCTTGGCGTGAGGTTGCGCGAAAACGCCTCCTTGGGAGACAAGGGATCCCACCCACCCAATTACTCAACCCACCTACCCATTTTTCGCCCCCCTTCCCCCGAGAAAAGAAAAACCAACCCTTCCCCCGTTGCCAGGCGCTGGGAAAGGCTGAGAAAGACTCAGGTTGGTGGGCGTGACTGAGACCCCCCCCGCCCCCGTTCACAAGACCCCGTTCCCCAAACTTGGCGAACCCCCAGGTAAGCAGCCCTGCACAGGTGAGAAGCCCCCTCCCCGTAAAGCCCCCCCACCCACACCTCTGGCAGTCTTCTCTCTCGGATTGACTAAATGGCGAGAAATCAAATGGACTTTAGAGCTGCCAGCCCCGGTGGCTGGGAAGGAGAGAGGATGGATACTCCAAGGTGGGCTTGGCAGCCTATGCAAACACCCCAGCAAACCAAGATGTTCAGAGACTCGAGTCACGCCGGTCAAGAGCCTTAGGAGCTGCTCCTCGGGTTCCACCTGTCGGGCAAGGTGAGCAAATGGTTTGTCCTTGGAAAAATAAGAGGCAGGGAGATAGCTAAAAAGTTGTGGTTGTTTTTTGTGTTTGGTCTACTGGAGTGGGTCTCCCGTGGATGACGTCCAAGCAGTTTTCGTGGCGATAATGCGGACATATTATGACTATTGTTTCTTGGTCAAGTGTTTTGATTATATATAAAATACAAACATAGAAAGAAAAGGGAAAATAATAAGAAAAGAGGGGAGGGAAAGAGGAGGAGGGTAGGATAAAGGGGAGAAGAGGGAGAGGGAGGAGGAGGAGAAAGAGGAAAAAGAAGAAGAATGAAGAAGA